TCCTGTGTGGTCTCTTATTTGGGAAAAGAAAGATGACTTTAATGGTCAAGGAGATGAGACTAACCTGTCATAATGTGATGTTGATTTGGATGAAATCTTCCTCAGCTGAAGCAGTCATGGAGTTCCCTCAAGGTCCTGTGGCTTTTGAGAGACCTGTAGATGGAAGGCTACAGTGTGCTGAGAAGTCTCAGGATGGTGTGCAGGTCTTCCTGAGCTGTAACCTTCTGCCTACAGCATGGCAACTCACACATTGCAATTAAATCCCTGAAGCACAAAGTCCTGCCACTCTCTTGGAGTCCCCTGACTCACTCTCCATGACCGTTCTTTCCAATATTTCCCTCCTTTTTGTGAAAGAAAAATAATTCTGCCATTTTTCCATCACACTCAGTATTAGCAGAATGGATCATGAGCATTGGCTCTCCAGGCCTCTGCAGATTTAAGAGCCACACACATGTGGAGAGAAAGCTGTGCTGATTAGAGTTTGGCTGACGCATAAATCCACCATAAACACCCTCCACACTGACCCTTCAGTGACCTGCAGAGAGCCCCACACACACACTGGGCACACACATTCATCACAGTCCTGTACTCTAGGACACAGCCTGCTCTCTGGCACCAGGAGATGTCTCAGGCTCCAGGCCTGAACATATAGTATATATAATTTTCTGATTTGTTTTAGATTTTGCTATATAACTATGATTTTCATACCTGTGGTTGAAGGCAGTAAAGTATTAGTTATTATAGTTTATCATTTTCCAGTTTGTGCTTGATGCTATTATTATTGATTGTACTACTTTACCTAAGGTGACATAGATGTTGTGATCAATTGATCTTGCTTGTATGCCAACATTAGATTGTCTTGGGGTCAGAAACAATACCAAAGACCAGTACTATGGAACAGGGCACTAGCCCAAACAGGCTGTGAGTGTTAGTCAGTAATAAACAGAAGAGGTAGGATACAGACAGACTCAAATGTCTAAATCCAGCTATGCCAAGATGACATCTCTGAAAAGTAGTCATTAAATAAAAAGGTCTTGTTATTAGTGGTAAAACTACCTATCATAAGCAATTTAGAAGACTCGATATAGAAAAAAATTTTTTTAAAAATGAGAAAACATGGTAGCAAAATTCACCTGAAAATCTTGACTCCCCCAAAACAAATCCAGGAGTCATTAAGGTCAAGAAATCAAAAGCTACCCAGCTGAAATTTCTGAAATGTTAGCAGCAGAAGCAACAAAGCAGATAAATATGTCTCTTGACAAACTCAAACCAGAAATAATTACACAGGTAAATAAAGACATGATGAAGAAAATGAATGAAATAATGAGTGAATGTAGATTAGAGAAAAATTTTAAAAAACTTAAAGAAGCTTAGGAAAGACAAGGAAACCATGAATGCTAAAAAAAGAAAAGAAATGGATTCCATAAAACAGAATCAAATAGAAATGCAAAAGATTTAAAAATTGTATTGAATGTACATACAGCAGATTCAATCAATGTGAAGAAAGATTATCAGATAGAATATCAGATCTCGAGACAGGGTTGTAACTGGCAATCACCAAATGAAAGATTTCTTAAAAATAGCAAGGGACCACCAAAAACTAATGCAGCAGCTGCTAGACAATATAAAGAAGACTAATATCAGTTTATGTGGAATTAATGAAAAACCAGAACCTAGGAAAAAGGTCAAAAAAATGTTCACAGAAGTACTAGCAGAAAACTTTCCCAGAATGAAAAAAGAATTTGACATAGAGATAAGTGAGACGTATAGAAATCCAAATAGCAATGTTCAGAAAAAAAACTACACCAAGGTATATACTAGTCAAAATTCCAGAAAGTCAACACAAGAACAGAATATTAGAACCTATTAGAGAAGAGGAACAAATCACTTATAAGTAAGATTCATGAGACTCACAGAGAACATCTCAACACAGTCACTAAAGTCAAGGAGAAGGTGGCATGAACTATTTAAAGACCTGAAAGAGGAGAACTTTCATCCCAGATTGATGCACTCTACAAAATTTTCTTACAAAATTAATGGAGAAATACATACTTCCATGATAATTAACTCTTGAAGAAATTTATAACCACAAAACCAGCACTTCAAAAAGTTCTGAAGGGTATTCTAGAAAAAGAAAATGAAGACAACAATTCCTAGGAAACCAATAGAATAAATTCACAAGGCCAAGAAAGCAATTAAATGTAAAAAAGAAGAAGAGAAACCAACAATAGGAAGATAATATAATGACAAGGTTAATTAAATACCTATCATTTATAACTATCAATGTGAATGGTCTCAATTCACCAATCAAAACAAACAGACTGGATCAAGAAATAAGATCCAACACTATGCTGCATAAATGAAATGTAATTAACTCAAAAAGAGATTCATAGTCTGCAAGTCTATGGAAAACAATACCCCAGATAAGAGTAACTCACACAAAAAGCAGGAGTAGCTATTCTAATTGCAGGCAAAGTGGATTTCAAGACAAGACTGATCAGAAAGGGCTGAGATTTAGCTCAGTGGTGCCTGCCTCAAAAGTGAAATGTCCTGAGGTCCATATCTGGTACCAAAATAAATAAATAAATAAATAAATAAATAAATAAATAAATAAATGTTTTTTTTAATGAAGAAAGATGATCACTACATACTTGCTAAAGAAACATCCAAAAAGAAAAGATAGCAATTGTAAGTATATAGTCAACAAATACCAATACACCCAACTGTAAAAAAAACAAACACTAAAAACATGAAAAGTCAAGATAAGTACTAATAAAATAATGGTGGGGGACCTCAACACCCCACTGTCACAAATAGACAGATCAACTCAATATAAAATCAACAAAGATATAACTGAATTGAACCAAACCTTTGAATAAATAGACTTAATAATGTTAGGTCTCCCACCCAGGCAGAACAGTAAAATCATCTCACAGAAGCCCCACCCCAAGCTCTTCATATTTATAAGAAATGTACAAGAAGCCAAAAAAACAAGTTTTAGGAAAATATGCCCACTACCCCCAGCAACACCTATAAGCCTGGATGCCCAGCATCCACAAGAGACACCGTGTACTTCAACAGACCAGCCCCTTCTCAAATTTCAAAAATTTCCGCTCTCCCCCAAAGACCTCCCCTCCCCTCTCCAAACTACCCTTTAAAAGTTTCCCCTCATCCTACACTGGAGGCCAGCAGTCCTCTTGCCTTTGGCTCAAAATAAACTACACTTGTTTCTTCAACTTTGCCTGACTCAGTGGGGTGGTATTGGTTGCCCCTCAGTTTACCCTTAAAAATACATATCTACAGAGTGTTCCACCCAACATTAGTATACACATTCTTCTCAGCAACACATGAGAGTTAATCCAAAATTCACCAAATACTAGCTCACAGAACATTCTTTTGTAAATGCTAAGGAATTGAAATTATAATATGCATATTATCAGATCAGAGTGCAATGAAATTGGAAATAAATGGCAAATTAAATCAGAAAAGCTACATAAACACAGGGCAATTAAAAAAATACCCTCTTCAATTACCAATGGGTCATGAAGAAATTAAAGAAGAAATTAGACAGGTTTTCAGTTTTGACTGAAATATGTACACACAAAAGAAATCTGTTTAGAATATTCGTAGAAAAAACACACATATATAGTTTTCTGAAGAAAGAATTGAGGTATTTGGAAGTTTAGTGAGAGCAGAAACCTAACCTGAACGTGAACTTTACTGGTATTTAGTTGTTTTTGTTATTACAGGAAGAAATACCTAACATACAGAGCTTAAGAAGAAGAGTTGTATTTGTTTTATTATTTAAAAGATTTCAGTTTAGGTTTGATTGCTTCTAATGCAGAAACATCATGGTATGTACAAATAAAGAAAAAGAAAAGTGCTTTATGAGAGCCAGGAAACAGAGAAAGAGAAAAGGGTGAGGGAAAGGGGCGGGGGGCCAAGTTTGGTCCCTGAGCTCACACTATCATGACTCAGCCAGGCTCACCCAGACGTGAGCTTTCCTAATACCCCACACAGCTCTCAAGCCAAACAAGTTATTACTAAGGATTTATCACCTGGCTCAATGTAACACATTTTTTTAGGAATATGAATGTTGAAAGGTGGGGATTTTCAACCTGTGATGGGCCACTGGGCATGAGGAGCTCACAGTCAAAAGTCCTTGTGAATCGCAGTCTCATCAACAGGAAGTGATCAAGTGTGGGGCTCTTTTTCAGCAATCTTTCTGGCCTTCATGCTTTTTAAATATTTTTATCTTTGGGATTAAGGCATTTTTATATCCCTGGATAAAATATGAAGTTTATCTAAGGGAGTTGGAATGTTTTTCTTTCATCTTTACTCTTCTGCAGAATACTGCTATCATACAAATCTAACTTCTTCATTTACCCAATTATTGTATTCCTCTCGGGGGCCATACATTCATTTTCTTGGATAAAAATGAGTAGATTGAGAGAGAGACTGAAAATCTTGGCAATGAATCCTACTGCCTCATTCCCAATATCAGGCCTGCCTCTATTCCATTCTTTTCCAGGCTGGCCTGGATCTGTGATGTTTTCTGTATTGTTTTAATTTTTTGGTACCGGGGATCGAACTCAGGACCTTGTGCTTTTGAAGCAGGAGCGGCACCAAAGAGCTAAAATTTCTGCCCAGATGTTTTCTGTTACCGGGGACAGATAGTTTCCTAGGACCAGGAAACCTTCTGAGGACACTTGTGATCCACTTTCAGGAAGACGACACTGACTCCATTAAGAAACCAGGGAAACTCTGAAAATTGTGGATTAAAAACCTTAATTGGAAGTATTCCTCATGCGAGATGAGTCTGATATAGCGGGAGAGAGACTGGTTCAGAATTTCCTGGGTTAACATTTGATTACTAGTTGAGCTCCACTCCTGCTGGTAGAGGATTATTTCTCTTGTCACTTTCAGCTCAGGGGAATGGCAATGGAGCAGGAGCCAATCAGCGATGAAGGCGCGGGCTGTCGAACTACCCAATCAGGTGGGCTGAGGGAGGGAGGCAGGCTCTTCCTGTATCATGGCGTCAAGGTATACACCTTGAGAGAGTTCCTGAGAGACGCCGGCCAAATAGACCTACTTTTTCTGTAATTTCTGCTGGCCGTGACCTGGATTCTAATGATCGTGGGGGATGCACAAGCCATGCAGTCGTGATGTTGTGGGACAGAAGATGGGAATGGAATGGAATCAGGTACGTTTTGAAAGAAAGTACCCAGAACCAGCTATGAAAATCTCCACCCTCCCTGCTCAGCTCCAGACCCTGAGGTCTTCCTAGTGTTTTTTTTTTCTGCATCATCATCTGTCCCTTTCCCCTTTTATTCAGGGAGGGACGGTTTCAAGTCTCCAGCATCCTGCGATTGTGACACTGCCAGCCCAGAATGTTTTCTTGGGCAGCCGCAGGCAGAGATATTTCTCCACCAGTCTGAGGAGAGCAGGGGATTTGGGGAAATCTTCTGTTCCTTACTCAGCAATGAAAAAAACTATTGCTTTAATTATTTATGTGAGACCTCTGCTCACAATGATATTACTGCATGAACAGAGCTCGTGGTCTGCTCTCACACATAGAAGACAGAGGTCTTCAACCAAAAGAAAGATGTTAGGAGAGATTTTATGGTAAATAAGAACAGCTCCCTGATTTCCAGGAAGTGTTCCAAGTGGCCGCTCAATTGAGAGATAATCAGAGACAAGTGGAGCACAGTAATAGCTGAATTATTTAGTGACCAAGTAGCTGAATTGTTTAGTGGCCACCTATCACACATGGGTCTGTGGGTTTAAACAACCACTTTGAAGTCAGGCTGAAATCCATTTCCTCAGCACACAGGATTCAAAGGAACCTGGGATTTTAGAGGAAAACTGGTTTGTTTGGGGTTTTTTTCGTACCAGGGATCGAACTTGGGTCCTTGAGCTTGCGCAGCAGGCAGCGAAACCACTGAGCTAAATCCCTGGTCCCGAAAACTGGTTTTTTAAATTTTAAGTTCCTTGAACCTCAGGAGCTTAGTAGGAGTGGCTGCAACTCCTTTTAGTAGGGAGAGGCCCGTATTCATTATAATGCAGAATTTCACTCTTGATCCAAAATTCTAGGTAATAGTCCATTTTCATTTTAATTCCTTTTATGTATGTATGTATGTTTGTATGTTCATATGTATGTATGTTTTCTGAGACAAGGTCTCACTCTATAGCCCAGGCTGGGCTTGATCCTGTGCTAATCCTGCTTCAGCCTCCCAAGTGATGTGATTATAGGTATGCTCAAGTGTCCCTGGCTTCTCATTTTAATTGTTATCAAATGGCTAATTACCCATCTGTATCTCATGCCCTTTCACTAGCTAGGTGCCTTATTTATAAGCTTACTAAGTATAATATTTTTTACCTAGATACTTTCAGTTAGGCTTCCATACAATGTAGAAGGCTGAGAAAGTTGGAGGTGGTGATAATGTATTAGCAAGGGAGGGAAAAGTGTTCCTGCTAAGGACAGCTTCCTAAAGAGGCCGCACACTGAGCCCACACTGAGAAATGCGTTGAACTGGGGATCTACAGGGACATGCATGAGATACCAGTATGATTGTGAAGGGCAAAGTGTGTCATCTTTGAAATAATTGGTGTAGTTTGTGGACTGATTCTACACATTATTTTAAGAATTAAAACACTGATTGAGATGGGCTTTGTATAAAAAAGATACTGAAGTAGGGGTCAATTCCCATAGTGAACATCTTTGAGCATAAGAATGAATAGAATAAAAGAGTTTTTTGAGTAGGAAAGAGCAAACAGAAGTAAAAAAGAAATGAGAGAGCAGGGGATTTTGGAGGGAGGCAAAAAACAACTACAACAGGAAACTTCTCCAGAAGCCAGTGTGCCTAGTGTGACCCTAAATGAAGGATTGTCTGCAGGGTGGGTCTGACGGTGGATGAAAGGTCACAGGCCTAAAGAAAGGAGGGGAACTTTGTAAGAGATAAATATTTCTTCTGTCACACTGATCAGCACACCTAGTCATTTTTGAGGGAAAATTGGAAATTAGGGATTGATTTTGTTCATTGTGTAGGGACTGAACTTTGGAATTTTACCCCGTTTTTTTTTTTAATTTTTGAGCCTAGGTCTTACTAAGTTTTCCAGGCTTGGGAGAAGTTCTGATCTTATTTCCACCTCCTTGATGCTTGAAAGCAGTTAAGTGCCACCTTGCTAGTTAAAGATTGGGGTTCTAAATCACCATAATTTACCAAGATTTCCATGCTTGGGTAAAATAAAATCACTGAGGCATTGTGTTGCACACCTCTAATTCCAGCCACTTGGTACACAGACAGGAGAATCTCTAAATCCAGCCTGAATAACTGAAGAACATCCTTTTTCAATGTGAAGTAAATATTGTGGGTATACATCCACCTCAAACTAACTGGTCTAAAGTGTGTGAGACCTCGAGTTAAGTCTATAAATGAAAAGGAAATTTTTTTTGTACAGATCTTATATTTCACTTTACATTTCACTTATTTTTCACTCTAGTGGTCTATGGCACAATACAATGTAATTCTTACTCATTATGAATCACAGTAATGAGTCACTGCTTTCTCACTAACAGTAACTACAGCTGAAGAGCCAGTGATTTACAGTGAACTGTATTCAGTAAGGTGTATGCTATGTTTAGGGTTCTATTATAAATTTGGCTTTGTGTTCTATTAGATTTCCTAAATACAGATCAAGTATGTGTGTTGAGCAGGTTAAAAGAATCCAGACTTAGTGATGATGTTTGCTTAATTGAGTATATTTTTTGCATTTTTACTACATATTGTTTTCAATTGCCTTTAGGTTGACCAAGATGTTTTCCCTTTCAAAATCATGTAGTATCCATAGACTCATTAGTTCAACTCTTCATGTACTCCTCTTTAGTATATAACACTCACCAGATTTTTTCATCTTTGGAACTCTGTATTAACCTGTTTTTCCTGAGCTACTGAATCAGGAGAGCAATATAATACTGTTTGGTAAAGGGAATGATACTGTTTGTTTTTTTTTTCTTTGTTTGCTTGAATTATTATCATCATAATTAAAAAATGAAGTTTTATAATGTATCGTACCAAAAATTAGATGGTATGTTTACCATGCTTAATAAGAGAAGAAGAAATCCTGCTGTAAAGGACAACTTCCAGAAAGGAACTCCTTTTAAAAACATTTTTTTTCTTAAAGTTGGGACTCACATGTACATGCAATTCCTGTAGGAGTGCAAATGAAAAGCACCATTGCTCACATTATTGCTATAGTTCATTGATAGTTTGTAGACATTCAAGATAAGACATGGTGTATGAGGTAGGACTTTGATGAAAACATTATTGCATCAGGTGATAAATACCCTACCTGACACAAATTGTTCTTGCCTTGTTGATGACCACTCTCCTCCTTTGGAAACTTTTCCAAAATCTGCCATGTGTGATTTCCCATGAGTAGTGTTCTTTTAGCTTCTTTCCTTTAAATTTTAAATAATATTATGGGTATTGCACAGGGGAAAGTTTTTTGAGTTTTTTGTATTTATTTGTTCATTTTTTGTCTCACTATTGTTCACAAGAGCTGATAAGTGAATGAAGGGAAAAGTATTTCTCATCCATTCCATTGGTCATGAAATTCTTGATTTTTCAATTTTACTAGAAACGAATCTCATTTTATTCCCAGGAATAATAGCAGAATAAATTTTCTAGATATTGGAAAGTAATCACTGGCCTGTGGATTTTGGAAACTTCACAGTGAAGGAGATGAGTATGAACTGTAGCAGCTGATTCTCCATTTTTGCATAAGTCTACTGATTGTCTTTTTCCACACTTCAATTTTCTTTAGTGATATTTTCAAGAGTTCAATCTTGTTCTCTATTCAGTGTTTCTCTTTTGTCAGATGTGTTGTAGTTACTTTTTAGATTAATCTTTATTCTCTGTACAAAATGTTTATGTTGTGTACCCAGTAAATATTTTCTTTTTTATCTCATATTTTTCACACATTTCAATTTCTCCTTCTACTTATGATGTCCACCTGATTTTTTTTAAATGAGGAAACACTTTCTTCTCTGAGTGTTTTTTCACTACAAATTCTTAAGGCATTCAAGTTTATCTTTCCCATTTTAATATGTAACCTATGTACATAGAAGAGTATACAATCCAGATTTCCAAGAGCATACGTATTTTCCTTGAACATAAATGAAACACACATTGTGATTTCTTCCAGGATTGTGTAACACCAGCTCCATCATGAATCAGTATTCTATTTATCTGTGGATCCATTGAAGACTGTCTTGCTTTCCTGTGGTCCATTTCTCATTCTCTCTACTAATCACACACTGACATGAAAGGTGGAATTTTATTCTCTTTCATGTATATTATCCAAGCTATCACCTTGCTCGCAAAGTGTTGAATATTAGTCTTTTATTGTACTGTACAGCCATAATTTTTTAACAAATCAAAGATGTGAGTAATGAGTGACACAATAACTGTTTTTTCACTGCTCAATTTTGGGAGGAATTTGAGGCAGGGTCTCACTTTGTAATCTTGACTGCCCTTAAACTTCCTACATAGCCCAGGCTGGACATGGAACGCTTGGCAATCCTCCTGTATTAGCTTCCCAAGTACAAGGATTATAGGTATATATCACCATAACTGGTTGGTTTTCCTTTTGTATTTAATGATGAATTACTTTGAGATATTTTCATTTTCATTGCCTTGAATATATTTCATTAATATTTATCCCCTCATTACCTTCCCTTATACCATCCTTGTATTTCTTATGTCTGAGTGCAAGGTGACCATTTGGTGTTACGGAGCTACAAGATAATATGTCACCTTTCCCCTATTTCATTGTTGATACATAGACTTGCTCCAATACAAATGTGTTTCCTTTTGCATTTTCATTATTCATAAACCCAATTTAATATTCAATTAAGTTTTTTTCTATGAAACCAGATTCAAGTTTCAAAATTCTTCGTGAGTGCAAAGAAAGATGGACTGAACACTGAATAACCTGATTTGAAAAGAGATATTATCTATGGTATATCAGAACCATTCATTAGATATTTATGTGCCCCTGTGTTTTTGGGACTGTGATTTGTGGGCCCCCTCTATGAACTCCGCTTTAGAGATAGTGCACGAATACAATGTGGGTGATCCTGAAAGACCAGTGCTACTACTCCACTATAACTTGAGCAGTGTGTTGCAATTTAGTGTCAGAATTACTGTGTTAAAGTATTTACATATACATGGGTTTGAGGACCAAGAGATGGAATTAATATTTGAAGGAATCATTTTCAGTTTACCTGTTTATCAAAGGAGTTGAGATATCTCAGGGTGTGTGTCTGAACCTTCAGGAAACATGTCATTCTTTAGGAGACCGTGACCTTTGAGGATGTAGCTGTGAACTTTACCAAGGCAGAATGGGCTTTGCTGAATCCACCCCAAAAGAAGCTCTACAGAGATGTGATGTGGGAAATCTGTATGCATATGGCTGCTATAGGTAAGGATAACATGATTTTCCTACTCATACAAGCCTGCTCAGTGATTTTTTTCCCCCTTTTTAAAATTATTTATTTATTCATGCTTTGAGAAAGAGTCTCACTATGTGAAGTTCAGACTGGGCTCAAACTCACTGAGTAAACAGGGCTGGCCATGAACTCATGCTTTCTCAGCCTCCTGAGTGGTGGGATTCTAGGTGTGCCACCACATCCAGCTCAGTGATGTAGGTTAATTAAGTATAATGTTATAACCTTTGAAGAATGTCTCAGGCCTTTTTATATTATACCATAAATCTAACTGGAAACTACTAAATTTTATATAATGATATAGTGAATTGTTATATTTCTATGTCTACAATTCAGAAAGAACTTGTGGTAACCAGCAAATGGAAGAACAGCACAAAACATGTTCAAGAACACTAAGGTAATTTTCAGTCCCAAGAAAAAGGAATATTCAAGAATCAATGTGACAGCAGAAATATTATAAGCAAGGAAACCAAAGAAATGAGGTTGTGTTCCTATTTATTTCATCTCGCAAAAATTTCCAGAGATGCATATAGGTTCATTTTGTATAATGTTACAATCGAATATGGAAATATTCCAATACAGGAAACTAAAATAGTACTGATAGTGTGCACCAAGTTACAGTAGCTACTCTCTTCGTATAAAAAAATTATATAATCTACATCATAGAAACATATGAGATTGTATTTCAGTATTGGGTATAGGCAGATATGAAATGAATAAATTGAGAAATTTGCTAGGAATTTATCTTTGAAATATCCATGTATGCATGTGAACCTGATATGTTCATTATCTAGAAAATTGCTAACATGGAAGCAGTATTCAAAATGCAAATGAGTGCTAGGGTTGTTGTAATAGATGTTTCAAAACATCCTCCAGAATATAGAGCTGTCCATGTTTTAAAACACTTAGAAATCATCCTCATACACTGTTTATGGGAATGTAAAATGGAACCATTATGATAATCAATATGCAGTTGTCTCAAAATGTGAAAATGTAAGATTTCATTTGATCCAAGTGTACCTCCCTGGGTGTATCTGAAATAAGTTAAAATCATCAAGTTTTAGTGATACATGCATTCCAGTGTTCAAAGAAGGTCACCCATGGGTATTCACAATATATAAGTGCAGGAAGCAATTCAGATCAGCCAAGCTCTGGAAAGAGCCTAGATGCCCATCACCAGGTGCCTGGATGATTAAAATGTGGGATTGGCTCAGCATGGTGGTGCATTCTTATAATGCCTGCAGGCTGGGAAGCTGAGTCTGTAGGATGACAAATTGAAGTTCAGCCTGAGTACATTAATGACCATCGAGAATCTCTGTCAAAATAAAAAACAGTGAAGCTGGAAATATTATTCCCTGCTAAGACCTGTGTTTAATTCTCACCACTGAAAGAGCTATGATAAATAATGAGCCAAAAAGAACAATTTCTATCATTTGCAAAAAATAAAATTAGATGGGACTCCATCTCATAATGGTAAATGAAACAAATTTTAAATGATAAACTAAAAATATGTTTAGGGAGTAAAATAAAGGAAAAATAATAGAAAACAGAAAGGCTGACTTTTGGGACATGGGAAAGATGATCAGGGTAAGGAGAGAAGGGGAGATTGATGAGTGAAAAGATATAAAAATGATCAATATGACACAAATATGTACCCATCCCCTAAAATGAAACTTGATAGTATGTTTTGCAAACATTTGCCAAGTAATCTTCCCATGTGAAAACCATTCTTTTGAGAATGGGGGTTTTGGAGGCATGCTCCAGGCCATTAGGTCAACTTATCATCAGAATTTCTTAGCAGGCATCAAATGAGAACTTGTCCTGATCAATTATTAACGTGGAGAAGTTTTTCACTGAGATTGCTATTTTTGTCCTTTTACCTTCACAGAAATGATGCAGACAAGTGTTTGAGATTTGAAGAGATGCTCTATAAATGTAGTGAATATGGAAAAAACTGGAGTGATTTCCAGTCCTTTCAGAAACATGAAATGAGAAAGACTGGAGAGAAACAATGTCAGTCTGAGCAATGTGGGAAAGCCTACTCTGATCTTAGTGAACAAACTCATCCTGGGGAGAAAATATTTCTAGGTAAGAAAAATGTGAAAGCCTCCAGCACACCCAGTTGTGTTCCAATCCAGGAAAGAAATCATGGTGTAAGGAGTTCATGTGAGTATAAACAATGTGAAAAACCTTTTGTGTCTTCATACTGTATTCAAGTAAATGAAAGAATACATGCTGGAGAGAAGCCCTATGTAATTAAGGATTGTGTGAAACCATTATCTCATACTCATTTCTTTCAAAAACATAAAATAATTTACACTGGGCAGAAACTTTATGTATGTAAGCAGTGTGGAAAAGCATTCACTACATGGGCTTGTTATGAAATGCATGTAGAAAATCATGCTAGAGATAAAACTTATGTATGTAAACAATGTAGGAAAGCATTCAGCACATACAGTCATTGTCGTACACATGAAAGAACTCATACGAGGGAGAAACCTTTTGTATGTAAGCAATGTGGAAAAGCATTCAGTACACACAGGTACTTGAAATGTCATGAAAGAATTCACACTGGGGAGAAACCCCATGTATGTAACCATTGTGGGAAATCTTTCACTCGAAGGAGTAATTGTCGAAGACATGAAAGAATTCACACTGGGGTGAAACCCTATGTGTGCAAGCATTGTGGGAAATCTTTCAGTGAAAAGAGAGACTGTCTAGGACATGAAAGCCTTCACACTGGGGAGAAACTTTATGTATGTAACCATTGTGGGAAATCTTTCACCCAAAAGAGTAGTTGTAAAAGACATGAAAGAATTCACACTGGGGAGAAACCCTATTTATGTATGTATTGTGGGAAACCTTTCAAAGAAAAATTTGCTTGTTGTGTACATGAAAGAACTCACACTGGGGAGAAACCCTATGTATGTAAGCATTGTGGGAAATCTTTCAAAGAAAAGAGAAATTGTCAAATGCATGAAAAAAATTCGCACTAGAGACAAACCCTATATATATAATCATTGTGGGAAATCTTTCACCGGAAGGAGATAATGTCTAAGACATGAAATAATTCACACTGGGGAGAAACCCTATTTATGTATGCATTGTGGAAAACCTTTCAACCAAAAGTTTGATTGTCATATACATGAAAGAATTCACAGTGGGGAGAAACCTTATGTATGCAAGCTTTGTGGAAAATCTTTCACAGGAAGGAGTGCTTTTCATATACATGAAAGAATTTATACTGGGGAGAAACCCTTTGTATGTAAGCATTGTGGGAAATCTTTCACCCGAAACAGTGCTTATCAAAGACATGAAAGAATTAACACTGGGGAGAAACCCTATATATGTAATCATTGTGGGAACTCTTTCAATAAAAAGAGAGTGTGTAATACATGAAAGGATTCACACTGGGGAGAAACCCTATGTATGTAAACATTGTGGGAAATCTTTCTACCAAAAGAGATATTGTCAAATACATGAAAGAATTCACATTAAGAAGAAATCCTATCTATGTATGTAAGCATTGTGGCAAATCTTTCAACAGAAAGAGTGATTGTCAAATACATGAAAGAATTCACACCGGGGAGAACCCCTATGTATGTAAGCATTGTGGAAAATCTTTCAACCAAAAGAATATTTGTCATATACATGAAAGAATTCACACTGGGGAGAAACTTTATATATGTAAGCACTGTAGGAAAATTTTCAACCTAAAGAGTGAATATAAAATACATGAAAAAATTCCCATTGGGGAGAAACTCTATGTATGTAAGCATTGTGGGAAATCTTTCAAACAAAAGAGAGATTATCTAATACATGAAAGAATTCACACAGGTGAGAAATCTTTTGTGTGTAAGCATTGTGGGAAAGCATTCAGCACATTCAGTCACTGTCAAACACTTGAAAGCATTCACTCCATGGGTACTCTATGTATGTAAATGATGTGGGATAACATACCCTACACAAAAATATTTTCAAATACATGAATGAAGTCATAATGATGAGAAACTCTGTGTATCAGTAATGTGGGAAATCTTCAGCTAATGGAGTTCTGGTCAAACACATGTAGAAATTCACACTGGGGAGAAACCCCATGTATGTAAGTAATGTGGGAAAGCACTCAGTACGCTAAAGTTCCATCAAATATATGAAAGAAGGCACACTTTGGCAAACTGTGTATGTAGGCAGAGTGGGAAAAGATTTGAGGCAATCTCTTCATTCTGTAGACAAAAAATTCTCACTAGGAAGTAACTGTAAGAAATGTGTAAAAACGTTTATCTGATCCAGTGCTAAACATATGAACAAGGTGCTACTGGAGAAAAAGCCTATGTAAGCAAAGTAGGAAAGCATTCAGCTTATACAGGTATTAAATATATGAAAGAAGTCACATGGGGGAGAAACCTGTGAATTCTGTGAAAATTACTCATGTAATAGAGACCTGTAGAAATAATATGAAAATTTGGTATCAGTATTTCTTCCTTGATTTTCTGGAAAATATATTCTCAGATGGAAATGTCCTAAAACATATTTATTCTGGGTTTTACAGTAAATTACTTGTAAATATCTGATGTATCTCTGGTCTTAGGTATGAAAAACAATGAATTGACATAATTGTTTATTTTTGTGTATGTCAGTGTCTCTGAACTTAACATGTGGTGTCTCCTAATTAAAAAGGTGAATTGAAGTGTAGTTTTCACTTAAAAATAGGGTGGGTATTTGTTTAGAATGTATTTTATTTTGCTTTTACAAATTGGAGGAATAGACCAGTAAAAAGTAAAGTTTGATAATTCCTTTTAATGTTGGAATTTCCCAGTAGCTTTGATTTGAATTTTGTTGGTATATATACTCCATATTCTGTGCAAGAAGATAATTTTTTGTTTGATGTTATTTTATATTTGGTGGAGAGAGAGGCTTATGAATGTGTTTTTGAGAAAACCCAATTGTTTTCATACAATGTGTATAAGAGCAATATTGTGTTTTTCATATTTTGACAAAACATCTGCATGTATCCCAACATAATTGTATATTATATTAAGTACATAATTTTGCCTAGTTGCTTTTATGTTGGAGTTAATATAGCTTTGGATAAAATTTTGTTTTCTTTCCATGAACATTTTACAATAATGCCTATGTTATGATGACTTTTAGCTGATTTGGTAATTTTTCCATCACCTTTATTTGAATCTAAACCATACTGCTGTGAGTATCTGCCACAGGTCAGTAAGAACATAACTTCTTGGCAAATGTACCTGAATTGTAGTAATAAATCTCCAAAAATTATAAATGATGGAAAGATTTATCAGTAACATTATCAACAGGATTTTGGTTCACAGTGAAGTTATTTTAGGAAGAATAATTATTGACTGTGATGAAGCAAATCCCTTTATTCTAATCCTTGATGCTGGGATTGATATTCTCTTTCCTAATCAATATTGCTTTAACTAAGAAGATGAAATAAAGCCATGAAGGAAAAGAAACATTCAGTGTAATAAAAAGAGGAAATTTACTACTTTCTGATTCAGAGTGTGTTTTTTTTACCAATTTTAGAGATACATGTTTACAATATCTTTTCATTATCTATAAGGAACACTGATATTTGAGATATGTACAAACATGTTCAAATACATAGGCTTATACAAACTGACTATGAGGCCCAGTTGATTGCCTTTTTTGGATTTTGCCTTTTTAATAATATATTTTTGAAATATTTTATACAGTGTTTTTTAATACAAATGGTGCTCAATTTCTGATAGGGTTCCATTGTGATAAACTTGTGGAAACATGAAAATATAATTGAGCAATGAATACCCATAATGCTGTGAACATTATATAGATTGCTCTAGCCTTAATCATGCTCAGACATATAAATTATTCACCAGTTCAGTAGTATGTAAAATTATGTCTACCTTATATCTGAAATATGTGATGTAATTCATGGAATGTAATTCACTGCAGAATACAGTGTCAATTTTTTACCCCATGGAACATGTGGCTGACTACCCTGTGGCTCACTTCTGCTTTTTACCATCACCAGGAACATATCCAATGTATATCACTATTCCAGCCACTCATAGAATTTTTAGAATACAGAACATTTTACCTTGAGCATATTTACTTTTCCATCATTTTAGTTCCTGGTGATGCAGGCCTGTAATCCCACCAAGTCAGGAGGAAGACTTGGGAGGAAAACAAAAGGGAGGCCAGCACTGGCAACTCAGTGAGACCCTGTCTCAATAGAGATGAAAGTTCTGGAGATCTGTTCACTGCTTTGGTTCTCCTCGGTTCACTCCACAGGATCAAATTTATTTTAATGTAAATCATTACACATCAGTGTTTGTCTTTTTGTCACTTAACATATAAAAGTCTAAGCCAGATGTGATGGTGCATTCCTTTCATCCCAGCATCAAGAGAAGTGGAGACAAGATGATCTTGGCTTTGAAGTCAGTGAGGGGCATCTTGGCTTGTTGTCTTATCAAACTATATATGACCTCTATTTATATCTGCAGGTTAAGTTTCAGGAAAGAAATAAGTTTAAGTTAAAACATAAACCTGTGACAGGATAGAAAAAATAGCTATGCCAAATCATGATTTTGTTCCTCAGGCAATATTATTTTCATGGTACATATTTGTAGAGCAGGCATAAACCTTCATCATAGATTTAAACATAAGTAATGAAACCTGAGTAAGTCAGGGATTCCATATTATAAACATAGAGATATGAAAATTAGTTTGGTCAATACTTGTATTGGGGAAAGAATTTCACCAGGTACTCTTCAGAGGACTAATATCTGAAATATAGAAAGAACTCTAAAAATTATGCACCCCAAATAAAAGACCCAATTGAAAAACCTGGCAAAGGAAATGAGTACACATTTCTCATAAAATTTTCAGTATTTGTGGCCATTAGAGAAATGCAAATTTAAAAGTCTTATCACAAAAAACATCCATCATGGTGAACTCAAAAAAAAAGTCATGAGGCTGCAAGGGAAAAGAAATATTCAGCATCGTTGCCAGGAATGTAAACTGGTTCTAGCACTGTGGAATTCAGTGTGGAGAGTTTTCAAAAGACTGAAAAATAATAATCCTACTCAATGTATCTGTTCACCTTGTGGTCTTGTGAGCAAATTTCCCAAAGAGATAAAGACATCATAATTCAGTGATACATGCATATTCATATTTATAGCAGAAATGCACACTCTTGTTTCTGGGTAGCAGCAGTAAGCTCTGCTCTGTCTGCCACCAAATGGCAAGTGTAACACCAAATACTCTGCTTAATGTGGAGATGCACACCGGTTATTGCAGCACTAAGGAGACTGAGGCAGTTGGATAGCCATGAGTTCAAGACCAGCCCAAATTACTCCTCGAATCTCGGTCTCAATACAGAAAACCAAAAACACCCTAAAAACCTCTTCATTGTATTCTATTTGATATGTGAATAAATTATAGGTGATATTATATATTTTATTATGAAATAGGTTCTATGCCAGATTATTTTTCTGGATTACAGGTTAACATAAAGATAAGCATGTTAAAATAGCAAGGGCTAGCTATAATGATCATTACATTGAGTATATTTAATGCATATTTATATACTGAATTTTATTTCACAATATCTTTATTCACTAATTTTATTGGAACTTTTAGGTATACAATATGGTAACATTCCTTATTGGGAATTTCAACCTTTATAAGATATATCTTGGTTCTTATATTTTTTTCCATTCCCCTGCCCTCCATTCAACCCATGCACCCCTCCCTATTTACAAATACTTCGCTTCCATTTTTTCCTTACATTCATTACTTTCCTTTATCTCCTTTTCCCTAACCCTCCCACTTCCCCTTCCCCTTTGGAACTTTTCTCCCTATTTTACATTATCTATTATATATTTTGATCCTTATTTACACTTTCAGTTGCTCATGCCAGAGAAATGATTCAGTATTTACATATGTCTATCCCATTTATTTCAGTTAAGAGTATGGCTTCAATGTTTATCCTTTTACCTATAAATGACTCTAGTTTCTCATTCTTTATGACTGAGTAGTACTCCATTTTATTTTTAAAGAAATCTACATGTTTTCTTTATCCAATCTCCAGTTGATGGGCAATTGGACTGTTTCCAAGTTTTAGCAGCCATTCTTTCTTGGGTGAGGTGGAATCTCAGCATTCTTTTCCTTTGCATCTCTCAAATGTCTACTGATGTTGAAAATTTTTTCTTATGTGTATTTGCTGTTTCTTCTTTGAGAAATGTCTGTTGAGTTCTAATGCCCATTTTTAGATTGGGTCTTTAAAGCTGTGAGGTCTGATATTTTTATGTTCTTTATATATTCTAGATAGTACACCTTTATCTGAGGAATAGCTGGTGAAAATATTTTCCCATATTGTGAGTTGTCTCTTCGTGCTGTTGTTGGTTTCTCTTACTGTGCAGAAGATTTATAATAATAAGAATTCCTACTTGTTGATTCTTTGTGCTACTTCATGTGTGAATGAGGTTTTGTTTATGAAATCTTTTCCTACACCAGTGTCTTCAAGAGTTCTAGCTAACCTCTTTTTCATCAATTTAGTATTTCAGTTTTAATATTTAGCTCTTTAATCCATTTTGATTTTAGTTTAGTGCATGGTGATTGCTATACGTGTAGTTTTAATCTTTGGCAAGTTGAAACCCAATTTTTCCAGCATCATTTATTTAAGAGGCTATCTTTCCTCCAGTGAGGGTGTTTGGCTCCTTTGTCAAAGTGACATGGCTGAGCAGGTCTCACATTGTTTCTGAATCTTCTAATCTGTTCCAATGATCCTTGTGTCTTTTTCTTTGCCATTAACATGCTGTTTTCATGACAGTAGTTTTGTAGTATAGTTTCAACTTGGAGATTGTGATAGCCCCTACCTTGTCTTTTCTGGCTAGAATTGTTTTTGCTATTCTAGGTCTCTATTTGTTCCAAATGAATTTTTGGATTGTTTTCTGAAAGTCTGTGAAGTATACTTTTGGAATTTCAATTGGGATTGCATTGAATTGTTACAGCAGTTTTGTAAGTATGGCCATTTTCATTATAGTGGTTTTTTTCTCCCCTGGAGTAAGGGATGTTTTTCTATTTTCTTATACATTTTCAATCTCTTTTAAAAAGAGTGCTATAGTTTTCAGAGTAGAGGTCTTTGATTTCTTTCAGTAGGTTGATTCCTAGGTATTACATTTTTTTTTGGATGAGCTTGTGAAAGAGTTGTTTCTCCAGTTCCCCTGTCACTGAATCTGTTGTTCATGTACAGGGAAAGCTATTGATTTTTGTGTGTTGACGTTGTATCCAACTACACTACTAAAATAGATTAGTAAGTCTAGAAGACTTTTCCTGGAGTTCTTGAGGTGTTCATATAGAGCATTATGTCATCTGCAAGTAATAACAATTTAACATCCTCATTTCCATTTATTCCTTTTATTTCTTTCTTCTGTAATTGCTCTGGCTAATGTTTCCAAAACTATATTGAACAGGAGTGATGGTAGTGGAAATCCTTGTCTTCTTATTTTAGTCTGAAGACTTTCAGTTTTTGACCTTTAGTATGATATTGTCTGTTGGTTTTTCATAGATGGCTTTTATCACATTGAGATAGAGACTGTCTCTTCTGCTTTTTTGTAGAGTTTTTATCATGAATGCATGTTAGATTTTTTTGAATGCTTTTTCTGCCTGTATTGAGATGATCATATGGATATTGTCCTAGGCTCTTTTGATAGTGTGTACTACATTTATTGATTTGCATATGTTAAACCACCTCTGCATCCCTGGGATGAATCTCAGTTGGTAAGGGTGTGTAATCTTCTTGGTGATTTTTTGCATTTTGTTTGCCAGTATCTTATTGAGGATTTTTGCATCTATGTTTATTAGTGAGATTGGCCTAGAGTTATATTTTTTTGGTTGGATGTTTCTCTGCTTTGGGGATCAAGGTGATGCTTGCTTCCAGGAGTGAATTGAGGAGTATTGTTTCCCTTTCAATTTCATTGAAGAGTTTAAAGAGCAGTAGCAATAGTTCTTCTCTAAATGTCTTGTAGAATTCAGCAGTGAAGCCATCAGGACCCAGGCTTTCTTAATTGGTAGGCTTTAAATTATTTTTTCACTTTCATTGATTGATATTGGTTAGTTTAGAATTTTTAAGTCTTCTTCATTCAACTTTGGTAATTCATATGTATCTAGGAATCTGTCCATTATTTCTGTGTTTTTCTTCTCATTGTCATATAGGTTCTCAAAGTAGGTATTGATGATCCTCTGGATATCTGCTGGGTCTGTTGTAATTTCACCCTTTTTGTTCCTCTAATTCCATAGATTTGAGTCTTTTTTCTTTCCTTCTTTTGATAAGGTTGGCTAAGTGTTTCTTAATTTTATGTATTCTTTCAAAGAACCAACTCTTTGTTTAATTGATTTTTTGTATCATTCTCTTAGTCTCAATTCCATTGATTTCTACTCTGATCTTTATACTTCCCTCCCTTTTATGACCTTTGGGTTTCTCCTGCTCTTCTTTTTCTA